CGCTTCCGCCGCCGTTGAGCCCCAGCGCAGGTCCTGTGACGTCAGGGGACGTAACACCATTTTCTCTCTAGACGAGGGAGTCAAACTTCGCGGCTCCCAAAACCCTCATTCCAAAGCAATCGCAGAAGCCGTTAACGGTAGCCAAGAAGCAGAACACTGTCAGCACTCCGGAAACGATCAAGAAATCACCGAGCTTCAAGAAGCCCAAGCTGAAAACCCAGTGAGAGCAGGCCCGGATTATTGGGAGATCTTCGGAGAAGAGGGTGTGGAAGGCGATATACTGAACAAGCCCATGAAGGACCATATTGACCTTGATTCACAGACGAAAAAGCCTTCTTCTTCATCAAGTCTTGCAGGAAGCATCTTGTCTACTGCACTTTTAAGTAAGAAATGGCAGAAATGGAGAAAAAAGCAGAAGCTGAAGAAGCAAGAGAATAGTAATAATGGAAAAAGTTATGCTGCTTTTCCGGCTGAGAAGTCAGTGTCTAAGAAGCACAATGCAGAGATCCAACCGGAGATGGCGGACTACGGGTTTGGAAGGAGATCTTGTGACACTGACCCACGATTTTCCCTGGACGTCTCTAGGATCAGCTTTGACGGTCCCAGGTACTCCCTCGATGAGCCACGGGCTTCTTGCGATGGGTACTTGAATGGAAGAACAATCCCATTCCCAAGGACGATGGCGCCTATGGTTTCAGTGGTAGAGGATGATGCTCCGTTCGTACATGTTCCAAGGGCTGATACCCAAATTCCCGTCGTCGACGAGGACTCCTCTTCTTCTGTAATGATGAACTCCACCAGCAGCGACGAGAAGTATCTGCCCGGTGGTTCTGCTCAGACTAGGGACTACTATCTCGACTCTTCCACGAGGAGGAGGAAGAGTCTTGACAGGTCCACCTCTATTAGGAAGACAGCTGCAGCTGTAGTGGCTGAAATTGACGAGATGAAAACAGCCCATTCCTTTCACAGGTCAAAGGGGCTGTTGACAGGGGAGAAGGATTCGCTTACACATTCAAACTCCATGAGGGATGATGTGTCTGAGACATTTGAATTGACAAGCTCGAAAGATAGCTCGTCTATGATCGGGGGTGCGGATGGAACAAAGAAGGGCATGAAGAAGTCCAAGAAATGGGCTTGGAATATTTTTGGCTTTATATATCGGCGAGGAGGCGGGAACAAGGATGATGATAATGATGATACTAGATATCGATCCTGGCAAGACCAGCAAGGGGATAACAGGAATGGGAGTGGAGGAGCAGGGGCTAACAGGAAGCTGTTTCGAAGTAATAGTAGTGTGAGTTGGAGAGACTCGACTAACAATTTAGGCGCGTTTGAGGCTGCAAGAAAATCTAGTGCTGAGATGAATAGCGGGAATGGAAAAGTGAGGAAGGATGAGTTTGTGTTTGGAAGGAACAGGAGTGCATGCTATTATACCAACCGTTTTGAGAATGGACTTAAGCCTGTCTTGACTTGACGACATCTGTCTGAGGAAGTCGATGAAGTTGTTCCACCATGAGGGAAACAAAAGCAGCACAATCGGCTCGAAAACAAATATTGGAAGTGGCACTCAGTTATAGTGAGATCCTAAGGTGTTTTACTCAGTCTTTGGTTAATTTAATGCTTGTTTCTGGGGTTGTTAGGTGTATTCAACCATACACACAGTTTTCTTGATGTTTGGTTGCCCATCACACAGCAGCTTCTATCTGCAATTCTACTTGAATTTACATTATAATAACAGCAAAACTTATTTTGCCTCCTCATGACAATTGTTTTACATCTTTCTTCCTTTCTGGTTTTAGCTGTGATGATTTTCTGTTTCTTATATTTATATATAAGTGAATGTTTGCTGTTAGCATTACCACCAAGATGCGACCTCTTTTTCGAGGTAAACCTACATTTGTAAGGGTTAATTTAAGGGTCGCCTTGTTTATTTAAGAACTCGGTTTTTCAACATACAATCTCTAGAGTGTCACTTTTTCTGCAAAAATAATGTAGTACCTTTGGTAATGTTCATTAAGCTAAAATAAAAGAATCTCCTAAATTCTGGGAAACAGAAAGTGCTTGCTAAAACGTAAAATCCTTGCATATTCTGCGTATTCTAGACTCTATTGATAAGCAGAATATGCCATAAATGGCTACCAAAATGGCTTCTAATTTGCTACTCTGACTTGCTAAAACTTCACTTGAGAATGTGTAACAAATTAAAGAATGCCTATAACCAACCATTCCAGCTCACTGGATGGGAGGTTACCGTGTCCTAGCGGAGGTCTCGGGTTCGAATCCCGCTAGGCACATTTAGGGGAGAGGAGGGAATTCTTGCTCCCAATGATTCTTCCTACCTTCACGGAGTTGCTCAGCGGCTGAGAAAGGAGATGATGGTAATAAAGGTAGCGGGTTCGTGTGGTAGGAGGAGCAGGCTGAATTGTGATAGGAGAGGATGGTAATAAAGGTAGCGGGTTCGTGTGGTAGGAGGAGCAGGCTGAATGGTGATGTAAACCTTGCTGGATTCGTCCTTTGGAGCCACTACCGACGAGGTTGACTGTGTTCGGATACGGATTTACCTGTCTAGGGGCTTTGGAGAGTAGTTCATGGACTCCAGGATTAGAGTAGCGCAAACACCGACACCTGGAGTTCTGGATCATCATAAAAAAAGAATGCCTATTATAAAACCCTTCTGTTTTCCCTCATTTCCTATGAAGCAAATTAAAGCTTCTTTGAACACTCAAAAACAAGCTTTGGGTGGTACTGGGCATCAATATCCTCAGGTTTTGATGGAGTTTTTCAGTACCCCATTATAGTAAATGGAATTCGACATAATTGAACCATTAGAGTACGGAGTATTAGACAAGGACTTGTATGAAGTAGTGTAGTTGGAGTGGGCGTGCACAAAATTCATGCTACTCTATTTAAACCACCAATGAAGATCTAGCTAACATCTATTCCACCTCTTGTTGTGATGTAACTATTTTTCTTCTTAATGATTGTGGTCCAATATCACCACTTAAATACATTGTTCCAAAAGGTGGAATCTCCCACCCAGGAGCCCCCCACCCCGACCCGACAGGATGGTGGGGAGGTTAGTCACGGTAACTCAGTCAGCTGAATGGCAGTAGGCCCCTCATCACCACTTAAATACACATTACCCGTTAGATACCACTAAAGAATTTTATAGATAATCTTTAGAACTAATTCCAAATATATAATGAAACTGGTGGATAAAAATGTGATCTAGTAACTTTTAGTGACTATGATTGTATTGAAAAGTAACATCATACTGACTACACAATACATACTCATAGTAACTTATAGTCACATTTTTGTGCATAGATTTTTGTTAGTAATATTTTAGGAATAACTTCAATCTTTTATTATACACACACAATCTCTTTGGTAACTCCTATTTTGAGTTTATTGTTTCATTAGCTAATTATATACTCTCTCCGTCCCACAATGAACTTCACAGTTTGACCTACACACATATTAAGGAAATAAACTTACCATAAGGTAAATTTTACTGTTTTGACACTGTTTCGACACTGTTTAGCACTGTTTTGCACTGTTTCGACACTGTTTTGCACTGTTTGACACTGTTTTGATGTAGATTAACTTGTCATTTAAGGAAATGAGAACTTGTTTCTGGGGTATCCAAAAAAGAAAAGTGAGAAGTTCATTGCGGGACGGAGGGAGTACATTTTATCAAATATATAACTTTTGATTTTACATGTTAAATTGTGTAATAATAAAAATAAACAAGGGTTGAGTTACTACATACGTAGTACTTTTTAGTTGAATTGATTGAAATTAATGTATATGCCACTTTTAGCTATTATCATTTATTTTATTAATGATTTTTTTTACCTATTATTATTCCATAATTTATTAGACTCGTCAATTTTAGTCACAACATTTTAAATTCAAGAAACACAATCAATTCAATCAATTTGAATGTTTTAAATCATCTTTACTAAGATCTCGTTTGGTATCATCGAAATTGGCTGATTTTGGTGAAGTTTATGAGTTTTTGACTGAAGTATTTGAAAAATTGTAAATAAATAAAGAAAAAATATATGAAAAAAACTAAAAAGGTAATCTAGTGTAACTTCAGTCAATTCATTTAGAAAAGTAACTCCAACTTTACTTATTTTGAATATTACATAATTTATATCGCGAAATCAAATGTTAAGTGTTTGTTAAGTGTTTGATGAAAATTTGATAGATAATGATGATAATTCGAAAAACATATTGACTAAACAAGCTCTGAATTTGGGATGAGTCAACCTAGTATGACACCTTGACTGAAACAAGAGTGATGTAATAAAAACAAAAACAAAATGCTATCTACAACAACAACATTCAAATCTTAATACCTTCCACTTTATTCCCGTTGAACAAAGCATCAACGTATGACCTCCATCTCTCTTTCATTTCATCGTCCTCCATTAGTACCCTTTGATCGACATAGTCACACACTTAACTTTTCCGATATCTTGAGTGTTTCGGTCATGAAGGCGAACAAGTCTATAAATATCTTTTTCTCCTTTCTTAAAGTCCAATTTTACATATAATTCCTTGTTCACTTTTCCTCTGACTTCCTTCACAACTTTCTTTCCTCTTGTTCTAACCTACTTGTACTCCTCTATATTCTCGTTGCTCCAACTTTTTCCAATTTCTTATAGCATTCCGTTTTGGTCAGTTGATATTTTATAAGTTTGAAATTTTGATGATCTGATTTGTAAAAATGTTATATATTTTGGTTTTGAAATATAATCTTGAAGAATATGCTCGCATTTTTCACAAATATATTTAGTGTTAGATTTATATGTGGTATAACAAAAAATATCTATTATTTTAATTTTCATTCATATTTTCTATGTGATAACTATTTGATGCATGCATATATAATATACTTAAAACTCATTAAATTTCTTTGTGATTTAATGAGGTATAAAACGTCATTTATAATTAATTCTGTCCTAAGTAGTATCACATATGACCCTTCGATCAATTTCACACTCATGAAATTGTATTGACTTAGCCCGGTCTATCACACATAATTCTGTACCAGCGGCGCCTGTTCTCTGTTCGCTCTGTTCTCTGATCGCTCTGTGGCTTATCGTCTGTCGCAAACTCACACAGACGCAGGCGCAGCGTTCCAGGCTTGCGGAGTGCCGAGTGCCGAGTGCCGAGTGCCGAGTGCCGAGTGCCCGAGTCGCAGTCCGCAGTCGCGACTTGCAGAATCCTCGGCTCCATCGCGGCACAGGCGCCAGCGGCGCAACGCCTCCAGCAGTCCATCCCTCCACGGTTCCACCCCTGGTTAGTGTTAGCCTCCATTCTGAATTTAGAACCTAAATTTTGTAAACCTAATCTGATATTTGATGAGACATTTTCCAAATCCCGATTCCATTGCTGCCTAATGGTTAATTTGTCTTACTATTATAGTATAGTACCTTAACTGTGCTTGAATGTTTCAACTCTCAACTGTAGGATAATATCCAGTAGGATTTTATTGAATACTTTTGGCAGTAGGATAATATACAGTAGGGGCAGTAAGATTTTTTCTTTAATTATTTTTTGGTTTGAAAATATACTTTTTTGCTGAATGAATTTGAGTTAGTAGGAATAATTTGTTGAGAAAAATTCTACCCCGTTTATGAAATTATTAATGAATATGAGTACAATCTATTTAAACAGGTTTGTAAAATTTAATGGAAAATCCAAAATCAACGGATATTTATTAATGGAAAATTACAAATCAACAGGTTTCCAGAATTACTAATCCGAATCAAATGGATAATCTAATAGAAAGTTATGAATGAATATGATTAGGATTGATCCAGTTTTTTTTATTGAAGATTCAGTTGTAGAATTATTTCAAGTTGACAACTCCGGTACCCATTTAAAAAATGGGGTACCGTACCTACCACTCACTTGATTGGTTCAAATCATTACATCATTTTTAATTTAGATTTAGATAATTCAATTACATCATTCTTATTGGTCCATGTGGACAAAGGTATTATACCTTAAGGGTACCATAGAATCTACCTTATTTCAATTTGTTTCGAACAACTACAACATAAGAGCTAGATCCACTACTGGCTACACCACCTACTGTTCCTACCGCCATGTGTCCATCCACTTCACTCTGACTTCCGACTAGCAAGCCGCCAGGTAAAAAAAGAACTTCACAAATCCCAAATGGCAACTAAATTGCAATTGGCAGAAGGAATTGTAGCCTTTTGTTTTTATAGTAATTGTTAGGAATTGAGTGTTTTTACCTTTTCTGTTGGTAAATATATTGTTAGTGTATCCTCCCCTGTTCCTGTCGGTGAAGATGTCTATTGAGATTAAGCATGACTATATATGGTTTTGTATTTTTGTTTTTTCTAGACTCTGGAGTATAGCGTTAGAGATTTTTAATGGCTTGCTGAACTTCTCTATTGTCTTTAAGTAGCAAGAGAGTACTACTTATATTTGAGTTTTTTACTTCTAAAGCAAAACTCCTCAAGTTCAGCTTATGCAGAACTCCATAATAGTCTTTCTATGATTAGTCTTACTACAATTATTTGGAATATGAATTTGATGACGCTGCATCCGGATATTAATTCATTATTTATGTCTAGGATAGCTTGATCTTTCCTAAAATACTACCCTTAGTCCCAAAGTTTTATTTCCCCTGTTTGACTAATAATAAAACTAATCTTGTTCTGCTACTATTAAAATTTGCACTTCCTACGTTCTCTTTTAATTGCAACACTTCCATTTTCATGTTGCCAACACACCACTTTTACCACATTCCCTATTTGTAAAAAATTTTAAAAATAACTTTTTGAAAATTTAAAACGAGAGGAATTTAATTATGTTCTTAAAAAATTTAAATTCATAATGCATTTGTAAATAAAATGTAGTCAAAGTAGAGCATGTGAATAGTGTAAAATTTCTAATGTTGCAATTATTTAAGAACAGAGATAGTATTAATAATTAAAACTTAAATATTTATAAACTATACTAGAAATTCTATTGCAGTGTACAAACCGAAATTTAAGCTAACACTTTTGGCCTCCCTCAAATAAATGCTAGTCTGCCCCTGACGCCCAAGTGCGCAACTCCCCATCCTCTATGTTCTCCAATATCTGTTGCGATTGTTGACCAACACCAAAGTTTCTGAAAGAATTTTTAAAATCCGCAGGTAGTGTAATCCCTCCATGGCTGACGAAGCAGACAAAGTCAATCCCGGAGACCCTCCACCAACAGGTTCCCTTTTAATACCAATATGGATCCATTTGTCTGTAATTCTCATGTTATTTAAGGTTTCACTTTGTTCTCTCTCTTTTTTTGTTTTATTTATAAAGATCAAATTAGGAAGTAGAACCACTTATTCATATTCAAAGTTGAACTATCTTATTCCTTATCTGGTTAGTAGAGCTTCTAGTGTAATTTTGTAGAACCTATAAAAATGCAAGACTTTTATATGTATAATGTATGTGAATGGATGAAATGTATTTTAGTGCAACATAGCTGTTTGTGGTATTGACCTGTACATTTACTTACCTGTCTTGAAATCTTTTCAGTATGTAATTTCTTCAGAAAGCCACTGAAGACCAAAAACATCAGAAAACGTTCTGCAGCAGATGACGGTGAGAATGAAGATGATGATTCAAAAGCTGAGACTTCAATAGTATTCAATAAGAAGAAGCCAGCACTGGCTGACAACAAGCTGCACTTTTCATCTGGACCATCAAAACGGGATATCACCTCAAAATCTGATGTAGATGTGAAAACCCGTACTTTTCATTTCGAATCTTCAAGGGAGATTCAAGTTCAGAATGATAACAGAGCAACAGCTACACTGGAAACTGAAACTGAGTTCTCAAGAGACGCCCGGGCAATTAGGGAGCGAGTTCTCAAGCAAGCAGAGGAGGGCTTAAAAGGGAATAAAAAGAACACCGGTGATGAGAAGTTGTATCAAGGGATACATGGATATACTGATTACAAGGCTGGTTTCAGGAGAGAACACACGATTTCAAGTGAGAAAGCTGGTGGATCACATGGTCCTCTTAGAGCTTCTGCTCACATCAGAGTATCAGCGAGGTTTGACTATCAGCCAGACATATGCAAGGATTATAAAGAAACTGGGTATTGTGGATATGGGGATTCGTGTAAGTTCATGCATGATCGAGGTGATTATAAACCAGGATGGCAGCTGGAAAAGGAGTGGGACGAAGCTGAGAAAGCCAGAAAGAAAAGAATGGAAATGGGATTGCTTGATGATGATGATGAACAGAGTGGAGAGAAGAGTGATGATGGAGAAGATGATTCGTTACCCTTTGCCTGTTTCATTTGCAGACAACCTTTTGTTGACCCCGTTGTGACAAAGTGCAAGCACTACTTCTGTGAACATTGTGCATTAAAGGTGAGTCAACATTACATGATTACATTTGATTGCTGTTCGTTAGGGATAGTTAATCCCAACAGTATACTCAAATATGCTAGCCAGTCTAGGTTTCGAATACAAATACTAATTCATGCTGATGTTCATTAAGGTCTCAAAATCCTCTTCTGTTTTAGCCATTTACTTTTGTTTTTCTATATAGTGAATGTCAGGTTTACTCAGTTTGTCGCACTTTACTGGATTTTTGTGTTTTGCATTATCAGTTAATATGTCATATAAGCTTAAGATAATTAACACATCCATCTCTTGTTTCTCAGCATCACGCAAAAAATAAGAAGTGCTTTGTGTGCAACCAGCCCACCCTTGGGATATTCAATACTGCCTTTGAGATACGCAAGAAGATGGCCGCAGAAGGAAAGTGATGGTGTTGCTTGCCTTTATCTGTTCACTGCATTGAACAAGAGGGTCTTCCAATCTTTACAGTATTGAATCAGTATTAGCACAGCGCAGATGTTTTCACAACCTTTTCCGTTTCTTTTCCAATCATTTAGTCTCTGTCATGCTAGTTCTTTTGAAGTTGTAAGAAATTCAGGCCAATCTTTTTGTGTTATTTAAGTTTTTGGAGATATCTATATTTTTTCTGTTGGCGAATGATATGTGGTTGATACTTCTCTTAATCTACACTGCTATGCTATTGTAGATTCACATGGTTTCTTGTTTCGTGGAGGACTCTGGATGCAAAGAAGCCATTTGAGACATTATTTCTAAGCCACTGCCGTGATTTTTTTTGCCTTCTATTTTTTCATTGTTGTGGTGGATGAATGGTGTCAAATGTCAATATTGTCCCTACAAACAGAAGTCCATTTTCATGCTATGTACACAGAAACCATAGTTCCTTCGGCAAATTTGTGAAGTTTTTTGTTGTGCGATATGATTTAAAATTCTTTCCACTTTTCTAGATTTTTAATTGTTAGCTTTCACCTGATAGGCAAGCTTTTAAAGGGAACCGATTCTTTTGAACTTATAATTTGGATATCTTGCTTTTGTTATTGTTCCATAGAGTGTGTTTATATTTTCAGTTTTTCGTATGCCATCTAACTGCTAACATGCTACTTAGGAAGGTGAAGAGATTATACAGAATGTGAGAAGAGGAGATTGAAGATGGAAAAAGAGACAGGCCATTGTATAAAGGAGAGATAAGGAGAAAGTGTATAGAAGTAAGAAATAGGGAAGAAGATTAATCACAGAAAGGTATGCACTGTTATTGTTGATGGTGGAAAACTGAATAGGCAGGCTCTCAGTATTGCGTCTGAATGGGGCAATGAAAGCAAGAAGACTATGTGAAGTCGAGGCTTACGCCTCAGCGCCCCGGCCACCATAAGCCTCATTTAAGTGCTAAGGGTTAACCTGTACAACTTTTTTCTGCACTCGGAGAGGCGCAAGTCTCTTGTGCCTTTTAAAACCATGTTCTGAAAAGCATTGCACTATACATGGAACTTTTTGCTGTATTTTTAATGTAATATGGCCATATGGGTAGTATAATGTTTAATTGGAATGCATTTTGTTCATACTTCATAGGAAGTGATCGAATCAAGGATATGTTTTTATGCTTGCACTTCAAGTTTTTGTGATGAAATACTTGTTAGTTTACCGTTTGAACTTTGAACCCATTCTCGGGAGAGGTGAGCCCGACGTAACCCGAAGAACACCCACCTGATCACTCCCTATGAAGTGGCTGAAGATTAGAAGAAGCTCCTATGAACATGGCCGCTCTATGTGCCAGACTGCCAGTAGCTTCTTAGGAATTGGTCGTTATAATTTTCTGTTAAGGTGAAAGGAGGGAATGGAAGGAATTAGTAATTTTATTTTTAATTTTAAAAAACAACTGAACTGTTTTTGTCCTCTAACCTCTACCTTATATTCTTATTCTTCTTTTTTAAATAAAAGATTAGAAAACAAAACAGTTATCGTTAAGTGCAATTTCATGCCTATTTTGTAGATTTCCCTCATACGGGAGTAATCAATAACAAATTCTTGTGGGTATTAATGTACAGCATTTAAATTATAATGTACAGCGAATTCAGGCTGAGTAAATTTATTATCGATTTAAATTATAATAGTGTATTGAGTTAGATTAGTAAGAGGTGGTAAAATAAATGTATATATATTATTAATCGTTTATCATAGTTATAATATTGGCCCGCTATTATCGGAGTATTGATTATGAGATAAACTCTGCCATGACTCATGAGATCATGATTTTTGATATTATGCATGTTCCAAACTAGCAATAAAGGAGGATGTGGTTGTGGTAGACGTGTGACGTTCAATAGTATCACTTAGGCTTTGTTTACTTTTTGTCTCATTAAGTTCTGAATGGATTGAGACGCCTGTTTGGATTAAGTTGTCTGTCTAGATTAAGTGACACTGAGATAACAAACTGTTTACTATATGTGCTGAATGAGAAGTCCGAATCATATAAAATGACCAAATAACCCTCATGACTGAAACAAGTGCTGAATGTATATTGTCTGTTAACTTTACTTGTACATAAAGATGATTTCATATGCCTAAAAATAATAATATTACAAATTACTTAAATAAAAGAGTAAAGTTTCGTGATAACAAAAATACAAGAATTTTACGACAATGCCATTTTTAAATTTAAACATTCTCTAATAGTCTATTAGTAATTTCATCCCGTAAATTCGTCATATATTGTAGACTTTTTATACCCTATTGTGCTCCATTTTGTTTCTTCACCAATTAATTCATAAATTAGTCCTAAAACAAAAGCTCTAAATAGTAAATACTGTAAAATAAAGCTTCACTTAGCAATTAGTGACCTTTGTAATGTAAGGAACAAAGATGAACGGAGATGGACTCATATGAATGCTACAATGCTACAATGTGCACGCTGCATATGTGGCATGAGAGATAGCCACATAAATATTAGTAAATAAATTTTTTATCTCCTTATTTGAATGATTTTATGTTGTTTTGGTAAGTTTTTCTCTACAATGTCAAGGAGACACTAGTAAAAATTTGTTAAATTGCGTCACGTCATTTGAGGCGCTTAATAAACAAGCGCCTTCAAAATATACGACGTGCGACGCTTTTCTGACTCATGCCAAATGCTACCATCTTTGGCGTATGCTCTTGAAAAGGCAAGTCCAGATTCTATCATTGCTCTTATAACTTCAGAAGATGATACCTTTCGTTATTTTTTCATGTCCCTCTTACCTTGGAGGGAGGCGTGGAAATATTGCAGACCAGTTCTAATTGCAGACGGCTCATTTTTGAAGGCGTACTACAAGGGTACCCTTCTCACAGCTTGTGCGCAAGATGCAAACGGCCAAATTGTCCCGCTAGCATTTGGTGTTTGTGAATCAGAATCTAAAGAGTCTTGGTTATGGTTTTTTTCTAAAGTTCGTGAAGCATTGATGTTCCGCGAGGACATGTACATTGTATCAGACAGACATAAGGGCTTGATTAGTGCAGCTAAAAAGATTTTTCCACATGCTGGCCATGGATATTGTGTTGAGCATTTGCGTCGTAACATGATTTCTAAATTTAAGGGCTCCGCGGTTGATTTAGGTTGGAAGTTCAAAGCTGCTTCAACTATAAAAGAGTATGAAGAGTACATGACATTGTTGGATTCTGAAGATATCCGTATACGAACGTGGCTAGATAAAATTGGCAGTCATAAATGGGCAAAATGCATGTGCGGTCCTCGTAGGTATGATATAATGACATCAAATTGTGCGGAGTCAATGAACAATGTTGATGTTTCAGCAAGAGAGTATTCTGTCGCTAAACTCATTGACTTTTTGAGAGTAAGAATGCAACAATGGTTCACGGAGAGAAAGGAAAAGGCTGAGAAGACATCCTCTATTTTGACAAAAAAAACGTGAAAAGCTACTGGTTTCACTTCAAAGTCAAGCTAGGAGACTCAGGGTTAGTTTTTTTTGCTTCTGCAATATTTCTGTCTATTTTTAGAAATGCCAAATTTTTGGCAAATTAACACAATTTATGCTATGTTCTGCCAACTTTTGATACTTCATATAGTTTATTTATACTTTTTGTTTTGTCCTTCTCCATTTTTACATGCAATATTAATGCGCACTTCTTGCTTATTCCAGGTAAATCCGTGCTCATATTTGGAATTTGAAGTGGTTGATAGACATTCTCGTTCTTTTGTTGTTGATCTCAATGCCAAGTCATGTACATGTGGGGAGTTTCAACTATCTCATTTTGTTTGCATTCATGCAGTTGCTGTGATTGGTGTTCGACCTCACTTGTCGTGTTATGACTACATTTCTCCGTATTACACACGTCACTACTGGCATTCTACTTGGAGTGCTGTTATGCACCCAATTACAGACCCATCGTCTTGGTTGATTCCTTCCAATGTTTTGAGCATTCGCTGCAAGCCACCCCTTTGTGAGAAAAGGCCACCTGGTCGTCCTAGAAAGTCAAGGATACCTTCTATTGGTGAGCATCGTGGGACGAAACGGCAAAGATGTTCTCGTTGCCACATTGTCGATCACAATAAGAAGACTTGTCGCAACACCATACCCCCAGCTATTTAATTATGATTCCAATGCATTCAATACTTGTTACATTTGTATGTGGAACCTTTTATTATGTCATATACTCATATTATAATTCAAGTCCTTCCTTTTACATGTAAAACACTTACCAATATTGTTGTTGTTACTATTGTGTTCTTTGAAATTCCAATTGTTTGTCCCTGATTTTATATTTTTTACATATTATGTTGAACTTTGTGAAACAATGTTTGCTTGCATTACAACTTTTACCATTACACTCATCAGACTGTAATGAACCAAATATACTCGTTTCATAAAACTTCCAATTTTTTGGCATTTTCAAACATCGTATACTACATTTTGCCACATATATTGGCAGCACATTTCCTTTCCAAAAGTGAAGTTACATCACCACTTTCCAAATAATATTCAAACAAAAATACATTACATTGAAATCTGAATTCCATAAAATCTGTACAACATCTTTACAACAACATTGTACTTTTTCCATCTTTTCTTCTGCCATGTTATTTATATTTACTTATGATTACAAATCAGTCGCGTATCTGTCAACAGTTTTCAGCTATTAGTCTACTACTTGTCTCAGCTATTATGATTACATGATAAAGCAAATATACTTGTCTCACATAAATGCCAATATTTTGGCATTTTAAAACATAATATATGATATTCTTCCAAAATATTCAGTTTAATAACAGCATAGTAAATTCAAACAAAAAATACTAGTGATTAGGTTCACAATCCACAGTTACTTCATCATCCCTCACAACAAGTAATTGTTTAACCCAATACATTGGAAATAACAAATCCTTGATACATATTCATCATCAGAAACAAAGACATTCAATTGCTCAAGTTTTTCTTTGTCTTCAAGCCTTGTTCCTTTTTCATTTCCTCTGTCCTCTTTTTGCTATACATGATCAACTATGTGGTCATTTTCTCCCTATACATGGTCATGTCATTTGCATCTATGTTGTCCAGATCCATGCCCATAATCAAAAGCTCTGCGATCTTCAGCACGTACATGCCACAGTTTCCCCTGCCATGATTCAATACCACATGACATGTCATACGTATTTAATTACAATATAATATTCAAATATGTAATTAAAAGTATTTCATACCCATTAGTTTGCTGTGGACATTCTTCAACACCTTCCACCTCTAATTTGTTTTCTCCCATCGGCTCTTCTCCAATATCTTGATAGACTTTATGCACATCCATGATCTTTGGGAGCAAGCATTGCACACTTGGGAGATATTGCCTGATTTCCCTTGTAGATTCCCCCTTTCTAGTAAGTGAATTGTACACCCTGATCTTTCTCTTATTCACCTCTAAGACAAGTAAAACCCAGTGATGTCCCGTGTTTAAAGGCATAAAAACAAACTCAGATTCTGCCCAGCTAAGTGCATATGTTGCTGAACTACCAACAATATGGCTCTCTATCACTGCCATTTCAGATGCCTTTTCAACCTTGGACTGTGACATCTGAATTTTTTCATGCTCACGCTTCACCGCTTGTAAGAAATAAGGGTTGCATGTAGCATATGGGAATTGGAGGTTATACTGAAACTGTTTGATTCCTAAGTAGAACATGCCTACCTCAATATGCTGCAAACAACAACTCTACAAGTTATAAACCAGTACAAAGTATACCTGTCATTATATAAAAACAAAAAAAAATTGCAGTCAAAATGTACCGTTGCATCGAGCCATTCTTTGTTCACAAACAACTTGTACAACCATGTTTTACTCTCAATTTTTACATTGTCCAGCAACATCGTCACTCCGTTCATTACTTCATCCTCCCTTTTATATTTCCTGTCACCATCACACTTTCGCAGCCTCTTCAATAATCCAGTTTAAAGGAACTCTCGCACCTTTTCAATTTCTTCTTGAGGTGGTGCCTCAGTTGGATCCTCTGCAAATGAACCATAATTTCTTGGCACAAAATAACAGAGCTTTTCCCTTCTTTTTGCAATTTGCTTCATCCTCCTCTTCTTGACAACACCCTCTTCAACCGGTGTATATCGATCAGGTGATCGTGCAATCCTCTTTGATCTTCCATGTTTCTCTATTTTGGCATGTTGCTATAAGAAAAATATATATATATTACACTAAATCACATTCCAAAACTTAAATAACTAACCATTCATGCAATATGACATGTACTGTTTGTCATTCACATAACATGCCTTTCTACCCATTAATCAATAATTTTCACAGTTTATTCCTTATATTTGGAAGGAATATACTATGATATCAATTGATCATGAATCACATAAATGTATTTTAAATCATAACTTCTTATTTTTCAATATTTATTCAATACATTTGGATGTTTATTCTACATTTGAAAAAATATTTCACAGAAATACTTACCTCAGTGTTCATTGAAGGCATTGTGCTCGTTCCCCTTCCTGCCTCACTCCCCAGCACTTGTTTTTCCACAGTGTCTGCGTTGTTTATCAATTCTACCACAAACTGAATGTTCTCATCTTCCCAAATGTTTGCTACTCTCCCTGCTTCCTCATCTTCCTTTGTGTTTTCATTTCCTTTTTCAGTCTCTTCCCTTGCATCCTCCACTCCTTCTGCCCATACTCTTTTTTCATCTCCTGTTTCCACTGCGTTTTCATCTTCCATTGTCTTTTCATTTTCTTGTTCAGTGCCTTCCATCACATCCTCCACTCTTTCATCACACATTTTGCGATCTTAGCTTTCTATTCCTTACTAATATAGGAAATTTCTTTATTTCATCGTCAGTAGGCACCATCTTTGACCATTCAAAATGCATTAAAACATGGCATATAAGAATACATATACTTTTCATTGCATATATACCACATGTATAGTATAAACATTAAACAACTTATAGTACTCCAAAACTTACATTCTCATTGAGGAAAATTAATTCACTGAAAACGTCCATTGAAGTTTTTTTGCTAAATGACCACTTCACGGCTCTTGGAATACCTCTTTCTTGACCTTCCTTGATACTGTAGAGTCCAACTTTTTGTAGACCAGGGAAAGTTTCAAAGGCCCAAACTTGAATAGCAATCAAACACCCTAGTAGTGTTGGTCGTGTCCCTTTGCAGTTCTCCAAACTTGTCACATTGCTTCCAATGTTTTCTACTAGTTGCTTCCAAACATCTTCACCCCATGGTTAATTATTAAATGCAACCAAATCTTCCACCAAGTTCACGTATTCCGCTGGTAACTCCCGGGCAACCTGGTTTCCAAATAGTCCATGTGAGAGCACATGCAGCAGCGTAAGCTTAACACCATCTTCTCTCTCTACTTCTGGGTCATCACTGTTATACTTCATCATAGCATCAAGGACATCAGTTCTTTTTACACTTTCTGCACTTCCAAAGTATTTCTTCCATATATGTCCGCTTAGCTGCTCCTGTAACTGAGGCTTCTTCCCCCCCCCCCCCCCCCCCATTTTCAACCCTAACAACAAACACAAGTCGTTTTTGCAAAAGCTTATCACACTGTTTTGTATATGAAAACGAATCACATTGTTCTCCTTCACTCCGTTCACTGTTTTGACATAGTTGCATAGGAATCCCAGTTGCATCTGCCCACTTATTACTTTTAATTCTTCAATGTGCAGTACCCATCCAAAAACTGTGTTGCTGAAATCCATCAATTCTTCTTCCTTCAATTGTTTCTTGATCATCTTCACTACCTCGCTTAAATTGCAATAACAATTAATTCTCATGCTATCCAAGTTCTCGAGTTCCTTCTTCCTAAATGCTCTTTCAATGACCCGTGATACCAATTCACAATACTCATCAATCACATAAATGCATTTTAATCTATTACTCTCTACTTTTTCAAATTTTATTCCATATATTTGGAATTTTGCTCTACCATTCCCTCACATTATTTCCCACAACATTAGGATTTTATTCAACTTTTTCACTATGACATGTGTTTGTAATTCACATAACATGCATTTTGAACCGTTGTTCTATAATTTCGCACATGTTATTCCATCCATTTGGAAGTTTCTTATCAAGTACCTAATCATTCAAATTTAATAAATTTACATTACAACACACACAACTTTCTGCAATAATCAATTCCTTCCCATAAATACAGACAAACTATGATATGAAGTGCTCATCAAACACATAAATGCATTTCAATCCTTTACTCTCTAGTTTTTCAAATTTTATTCCTTAGATTTGGAAGTTTACTCTACCATCACCTCACATTTTTATCCACAAAATTAGGAAGTTTATTCAACTTTTCACTATGACATGTTCTGTTTCTAATTCACATAACATGCACTTTGAACCATTGAACCATAATTTCTCACATATTATTCCATGCATTTGAAAGTTTCTCATGAAGCATCTAAGCATTCAAGTTTAATAAAGTTTACATTAAAACACACACAACTTTCTGCCATAATGAATTCCAGTTTACATTAAAACACACACAACTTTCTGCCATAATGAATTCCTTTCCATAAATACAAACAAATATGATATCAATTGCTCATCAATCACATAAATGCATTTCAATCCTTTACTCAGTACTTTTTCAAATTTTATTTGTTAGATTTGGAATTTACTTTACATCACCTCACATCATCTGCCATAAAATTAGAAATAAAATGCATTTCAAACCAACATGTTCTGTTCGCAATTCACACAACATGCATTTCGAATCATTGTTCCAAAATTTCTCATATTGTATTGCATGCATTTGGAAGTTTCTCATCAATTGCTTTAGTTTCTGTCCAATGTACTATGACATCTATTATGTAGTTTGTTGTTCATACACAAAAACACAATGCATTTTAAGCCATTCTTCCATAATTTCCAAAATTTATTCCTTACATTTGATGTAAAGCTTCATAAATTGTAAAATCAAAAATAAATTACCATGTCGTCATTGATGCGCACAGTCAGGGGAGAAGGTTTTGAAGGTTGGAAGTCGTCATCTGTCATATTCACTGTCACTTTTCTTCCTCCGTCGATGTTCTTCAATTCTTCATTTTTTGGAATTTTTGCTTTTTTAGTTGAATGGAATAACTTCCGCTCTCCCACAGCTCTCGAATTGAATCCGCGGTTATGTTCTTTCTTATAATTTCGACGCAAACGTCATATTTTTGGAAACCCGATGTGCAGTCTTGGCGAACGTGTATAATCTTACGTGGACACCTGAAGCGGCTTATTTCGCAGGGGCATTTTTGCCAGATCGATCCCAATTTGCTCCCACGAAACATAAAAAGCAGAAGTGGTCCTATTTTAGCATCCGGATGGGCTTTTAGTCTTATATTAAAAATTAACTCTTTTATAATAGGAAAAATGCTCTTATTAGGATTACAAACGTTTGTGTATTTCTAAATAGGACCACAACCATGTTTTGGCTGTACGTCTTTACCAGACTTTAAACATGACAGTATATTCCAACTTTCCAAGTTTCACAATAATTACTCCTATTTAGGGAATAAAAATACGACAATCCTATTTTAGATTTTTCAAACGTTTTTATTCATATCTCGGAAATTTTCCCTATATAATACCACCCCTCCCTATTTAAATTCTTTATTTGATTAACACAAATTTTAGTGAAATAATGTTTTCCCTTTAACTTCGAGAAATGGAGTAAATTATATTCCCTCCATCTCAAAATTAACTTGACTTCACATATTTTTACGTTGGAAGATAGTAAAGATTAGCTTTTCAAATTTACCATATTTTTAGTAGTAGGAATTAATTTTTACTAGTAGGAATTAATTTTTGATTGAATAAATACTAGTAAAGATAAAGAAAGTATATTAATTTCTGAACTAAGTAAAGTGAAATACTAGTAGGAATTAATTTTTACTAGTAGTTGTTTATTGCCGTCGCGGACGAGGGTCTTCCCCTTAGAATTAATTCCACTTTAGGTTCTCCGAATTTTGTGTCATTTCCATATTTAGTCCTCGTCTTTCACTTTATCCATTTTTGGTACCTGACTATTGTTTTCTTGACCATTTGTGATCCATTTCTGAGCATTTTTACTATCGGAAAAGGACTATATATGGTCAAGAAAACAATAATCAGGTATAAAAAATGGATAACATGAAAGACGAGGACGAATTGTGGAATTAGTGCAAAACTCGAAGGACCATAAGTGGAATTTCCTTTTACTTTTGACCTCAAGTTTATGGCAAGGAGCAACTGTGTAGGGCAAGAATCGAGGAAGTTTACAAGATATTATTGATTGAATAAGAAGACAACGAGGGAATTGTTTTGGAGTGAGGAAGGTCGAAGGGGGGAGCGATGGGGCGGCATACGAATGGCGTCTAGCAGTTGTGGGAACTACCATTACCGAAATGGTAATCAAATTTCGGATTTTCCGGGACACCATATCATGGCGGTGGAGACCGGCGAATGGCCTAACGATCTCTGATATCGGCTCTAAGAGATATTTAGTTAAATCCTATCATGGAGTTGAGTTGCAGCATATTTGGGTATTTTGTCAGATTGCTCGTGGTTGTTTCATCATAATTTGCTATTTTTACTCCCTTGCGAGCTAAAGACTCACTCTTCAAAGTCTAGCTATCATATGCGGGTTGTTAGGTCCAAGTTCATAACCTGCAAGTGAAATTTATGACAGCCAGGTTAGCCAAAGAAACAGGAGACCTTATTGACAGTTTTATCCGCATAATTGAGGATCATCTGGGGGTACTCGGAAAGCGTGCCTGAGATTCTAGGTGTCGTTAGATGTTGGCAAAATCTTTGCAGAGGCGTATGGAACTGCTCAAGAAAGGAAGCAACTGGTTGGGCAGATTTAAATATGAAAAAATTCCATATTTATACCTTGTTTGTGTGTTCTGCTTGGAGATAAGTTTTGCCCTCAGGGATGGTGGATATATAGTATGGGAGAGAGAATGAACTGTGGCTCTTTGTTGAGAGCTCCAAGTGGAAGGAGAGGGGATAGGAATGGGCAACAAATGGTTTATGTCGGAAAGGGGCGATGTGGTGCTTCGGGGGCGAATCTTAAGGGGCTTAATCAAGATAGAGAGGGCAAGGTAGGAAGGAAGAAAGCAAGGAGGGAAAAGAAGTTGATGGGGGAGATGGGTGATATTAGGAGAGCTGAGAGGGGAGGATAATGTGAGGGAGGACTAGATGAGGAAGAGATTGGATTTGGCAGAATGGACTATGAGCAAGCATGGTCCAGATAATGGGGTGGAGGCAGTCATTTAGGGACATGCTTGCCTGGATATTTAGTTGCTGGAATACCTGATACCTGATTGCCACAACACCAGAAATATTGGGATAGTTGCGGACTTGCGGCTAAGTTTGTTTAGTTCCAGATCTCTTGAATAAAGGTTGACGGGGAGAGGCTGATTAGAGCAAATTTGTTTCTTCAGGTAAATTAGGCTGGAGTGATTTGTGGATTGTTGCAGGCAAAATGAATTCATATTGTCTCTTTCCATTTTATTTGTTCGAGTGTGGTTGAGGAGGGGAAAGAATTACTCCGTATAGTAGATTACGCGTTTACAAATTTATTTATGTAATTATTAAATGTTAATGCTTGAAAATATTAAAATTGATGCTACTAGTAGAAATTTTTTACTACAAGGTGTCTATTCAACTAATTTATTCATTTGTTAGTGATATTTTCTTATTACTTAGGAAATATCCAATGGTCATGAATTAGCTTTTTTGAAGGCATCATATTAAAATGCCTCCAATCTTATTTTCACTCCTTAGTAAGAGTCAAACTATGTAAGCAGATGAATCCTAATTCCCAACATTAGCGTACAAACAATATTTTACAAGAGACACCCAATAAAAATAGAACAAAGATAAAATGGATTATTACACGTGAAACATATTCTCTGAGGCCAATCTTTTTATTATCCCGCCAAATCATGAATGTAATCTCCCCCATATTATGAGAGAACATTCATGAATTGCCTCCCCCATGCCTCCCTAGTTATCCTTAAACATGTTATTAGAAAATAATCAATCCTTTTTTAGCTTTCATCCTAGGTTTCGTTCCTAGGATCGAATACCATTCTTCCATAGTTAATTTGATAGCTAGCAGAGGCCGGGCCGGAATTAAATCCTGGCCTGATTGATTACAACATGGGTACATGTGTTTCCTGCCAAAGAGGGGTGATTGAGAGGTATGACGTTGGCGGGAACCTTGTTGAGGAAAATGCAGAGCGTTTGCAGAGAAATAATGGGGAAGAAGAAGATATCTATGAAGGGGTTGTGGGAAGAGGAGATTATGGTGCACGCATTAGACTTCATGGATCTTCCAGTTTTATCTCCATGTATTCTCGACAAGGCAGAAAGGGTATCAACCAAGATGCCATGACTGTTTGGGAGGTACATTTTCCATCCATACATTCCTTTTAATATTTTTACTTTTGTGTAAAAAATCATGAATTTGAGCAAATTGATGAAGGTGGCAGAGATGTATTATTTTCATTGTATATTTAAGATTTCAGATTCAAAAATAAAAGATTGGTTATTTGGTTCTATAAAAAGACTCATCAAATATATTTGTTAAATACGAAGTATTATATATATACATTACCCACATGAGACAAATGCTTCAAAACTCTATATGTTTATCAGAACTTTACAGGACAAAAAGGTACGTACTTCTGTGGTGTTTTTGATGGGCATGGCCCCTCCGGCCACAAAGTCTCACGTTATATACGTGACATTTTGCCATCAAAACTTTCACAGTCGTCATCTCGGGTTATATCAACCGTGAGCTTTGAGGTGGGTAATGATGACAAGAATAGCGAAGATTCAGATGAGAAGGATGATGGTGATGGTGATGACCCCCCGAACCCTTTTCTTGACCAGTGGAAATCAATTTTTCTTGAGTCGTTTAAGGAGATGGATGAAGATCTTGAAGGCCAAACAACAATTGATATCAAATGTAGTGGCTCAACAGCAGTTACTGTCCTCAAGCAGGTACTAATAATTACATAACTCTTGAAATAGAGACAGAATGTTTAACAACCATAATAAGAACACTCCAATTTATGATTGTCATATATTAATTAAGTATTTTTTAGTTAAATTTGCCACGCTATAACATGGAAAAAGAACTTCACCCAATTATTCTCTATTCTTTGTCCGTCTCCTACAAAGTATTGTGGGCGATCTTAAACTAATCTGTTTTAATTAGTGTGATGTCTAATACGGAGTACACTGTTTTATTACATTATTAGTAAATGTGAGCCAAACCTTACTTAAACTTAATATGGGTAGTGTAGTGTCTTATGCAGAGTACGTTGGTTTACTATATTATTAGTATATGTGAGCTTGAACTTTTAACACATTCATGACTAGATACTTTATCATTTTTTTCCAGCTCACATATTTCAAATTGGTACACTCTTACACGGTATTAGGTTTTAAGATTTCATCCTAAAGATAAATCTAATATCTTGTTAGTTTATTGTTTCATACGGAGTATTTAACTCATCATTTTCATTTTCATTTAACTAATGTGAGAAAAACTTTTAAAAATTTTGGCAGGATGAACATTTAGTGATAGGGAATTTAGGTGATTCTCGGGCTGTTATTTGCACAAGAGACGACTCAGACCAGCTCGTTGCAGAACAGCTCACCGTCGATTTGAAGCCTAACCTTCCAGGTAGATTAACTGACTAGAGCCTCATATGATAATAAACTGGAATGATTTTTGGGCCTTCCCCCCTAATATATGGATATGTTTATTAGGTGAGTTTGAAAGAATTAAAAACTCCAATGGGAGAGTTATTGCAATGGCAGAAGAGCCAAATGTGTACCGGATATGGAAGCCTGATGAAGATAGCCCAGGCCTAGCCATGGCAAGGGCATTTGGTGACTTCTGTCTTAAGAGCTATGGCCTCTCCTCAGTCCCTCAAATGCATTACAGAAAGCTCTCAGATAAAGACGAATTCGTTGTTTTAGCAACCGATGGGGTAATTAACGTAAACCCATATTGCATATACATCTTGCTGGAATACACCCCCTTTGCATTGGAATTGAAATATCATTGGTTCAGAGGATTATAATTGTTAGCCCTTCAGGATTGGTTATGATTTTTAATTGAGGAGAAATTTAACTTTATACTCTATTTTTTAGATGATATTGAACCACACACCATATTTTCAAAATCATTAATGTGTTCAACGGTCTTCAACCATTGCTGTTTAAAATCATTTGACTTTGCACTCTAGTTCTTCACAATTTTTCACAATTTTTGGGCTGTTGGACAATGATTTTAATATATATGTGTATAACTTATAAATTTATAATTTTATGAAATTATTTTTAATAAGTAACATTTTAATATAGTTTTCGTATGCAAAATAATTTCATATTAAAAATACATTGCTCAAAGTTGACTAGGATTGACAAAAAAGGTCAATTTAGCGGACTTTTTTTGGGACAGAGGAGTATCATACTGTAACTCTTGCTCGGTATATTTCAGGTATGGGACGTTTTAAGCAACAATGAGGTGATAAGAACAGTGGCTTCAGCAAGGAGGAGATCAATGGCAGCTCGAGTTCTAGTAGAGCATGCTGTCCGTGTATGGAAACACAAGTACCCTTGTGCCCGTACTGATGACTGTGCTGCTGTTTGCTTGTTCTTCAAACGCCACCGCCGGCCGTCGCTAACAAATTCTTTGTCACAAGAAGCAACTGAGCTTATGGCCTACAACTACCTATGCAGCGCCAACACCGACGATGACGGCCTGGACACTTTGTTGAATTATAAGGTGACGACGGAAGAGGGAGAAGACGGTGGTCTGTTGCTTGACTCAAAGACGGGGGGAAATAGCTCCCGGCCGGAGATGCCGACATGCTGATTTAGAAATTTTTGAGCTGATGTAAATATGTAATCGTGTAACATATTTGTGTATAATATATGTGCTCCTTCAATTCATTGTGTTCAACTCTAATGAAAAAAAGACCAAATGAAAAGTATATGAGGGTTGCCAAGCAGGGTAGTGTATGTAATCCATTGGTAATGACTAGGATAGAACAAGGTTTTGAGACTGAATCGAGACCCGCTGGTATTCAAATCGGGATCAGGGCCAAAAGTTAAGTTTCGACCGAGGCCAGAGTGACAAGATCCCGAGCCTCACTTTTTGGGATCAGGAGTAGGCATGGCCTCGGTTCGGGCTGGGCCGGGCCTCGGTCCGGTTCTGACCAGGCTTTTTTTGGGAGAAGTGAGGCCCGGAAACTGGCCCGGGTATCTCCGGGCCCAGGTCGGGCCAGTTCACCCGGCGGTTAACGGCCCGAGCCGGGCCGGGCCGGGCCGGTTCACCCTATTTTTTTTTTATTTTCAAATTACTTCCTACCCCCACTCCCACCCTAAATCCCTCCAAAACACTCAGTCCAACCCATTTACCTTTTAAAAAATGTGAAAAACAAAAAAATTGATCCGAACCGAGCCCAAACCGGCCGGGCCGGATCATCAAATGCAAGGCCTAGGAACTGCCCCTCTACAGTGCCGGGCCAGGTGGCGCGAACCGGTCATAGAACCGTGGGCCGGTCAGGGACGGAATAGTGCTGGTTCGGGTTGGTTCTAGTTCGATTAACCCGGCCCAAGTTCATCCCTAATCGGGAGTCAGGACCAGTGGAGGGTTTTGACCGTATTTATTACACTACTTTTCCATGTTAAGTGTAATGTTTCCTTTTTCACGTTTTTCGGTGCACAATTTGACCATTAATGCTATGTATATTTAATCTTTACTACAAAATTTTAAGATGAGACAAATTTAATAATATTCTTCAAATAATAAAATTTGAAAACATTAATAAACAAATGTAGTCAAAAGAACTTTTTTGGTTAGGGATGGATCCGGGCCGGTCCGGTTCCGGGTCCGGTTCCGGGCCGGGCAGGCTTTTTTTCAAATGTGTGGGCCCGGAACCGGCCCGGGTTGATACCGGGTCCGGTCCTAACCGGGCCGGGCCGGGCCCGAGTCAAGTTAATTTTTTTTTTGCTTTCTAACCCCCGACCCCCCCCCCCCCCCCTTCACCAACCTCCCCAACCCCAAACTCCCCCCCCCAAACACCCAGCCCTAACCAAGAAAAACAAAAAAACTTGAAAAAACAAAACAAAAAAAAAGCTCGGGCCCTGCCCGAACCGCCCGGGCCGGTTCAACAAATACTGGGCCCGAGCTCGGCCCACCCACCCCTCTCCAACCGGGTAAAAGCCCGGACCCGATTAGCACCAACCGGGCCGGTCCGGGCCCGCACAGTGGCGGGCCGGGCCGAACCGGTTGGGTCCATCCCTATTTTTTGGTTATCAATTCTATAAACACAAATACATTTCACACGTACATCATTATTCATTTTGATTTATGAACACGGACTCAAGGTTTGTATATAAAAAGTTATATTCCATACGTCCCTTATATTAGGGCTTAATTTGACACGCTTTTAACACTTTTTAACATCATTTGAATGTTGTAGAGTAACTTGATAAGATTCTCTTTATTCAAGACATTTTGAAAAGGAATACATGAACTTCAAATAACAAAAAAATGCTCATTTTATTTATGAAACAAAACTCCTTTACATTCGAATGAAAGTCAGTCAATTTATCATGAACAATTCTTAAACAACATGGAGATGTATTGGGATTGAGTAAATTGGATGGTTTGATTTAATCAAATAAAAATGTACCAATCAAATTAAGTCGAACCAAAACCGAAACATATGCAACTCGAGTTGAGTTTCTATATGAACCGTAACTGGAAAAAAACTAATCAGACTAAAAGAATTTAGGAAATTATCAATCTAGGACCTGAAAGATGAAATCTATCGATATAAGACCCGAATGATAGAATACTATCAATTAGGACATGAGTGATTGAATACTATCAATTTAGGACTTAAGATGTCATGAATTAAAACTTTTGTGAAGAAATGTTTTTAAAAATTAGCAAAGGAATTAACAAAAAAATTAAGTAAATCAAAATCAATGAAATGGTAGGTTCTAGATTGATAGTTTTTCATCATTTGAGTCCTATATCGATACATTTCAACTTTCGGGTCCCAGATTAATAATTCATCTATCTTTCAGGTACTGAATTTAATATAATCTTCATATATTATTAAAAAACAACTTTAAATCGAACCGAACTAAATCGAACTATACCATAACATAATACTCCCTCAGTCCTGAATTGAAGTGCAAATTTTGACCGGCACACGGATAAAGGAAGTATAGAAATAAAACTTGGTTTTACCATTTTACCCTTTTAATCAAAAGAAGGAAAAATCTCAAAAGATATGTGAAAACTGAAGCATCTCGTCAGATTGTGATTATAGTCCAACTTACATCCTCCCAACGTACAGTCCGGTCGGTGTTGGGGGACCTCAGGGATGGGGTGTCATCCTTTTTACGAGCGTGCTTCTTTTTTTCTCTCACGCATCCCCACGCTTCTTCAACTACTCCAACTCTCGACTTCCTTCATCTGCGACAAAACACAGACGACGACACTCCCCCACACGCGAACGGCGAATGGTGAGCTAATCGAGGACGTCCGTATATGTCACGCCCCAGACCGCATCTAGGCGCGTGTACAACCGCCGTATGACCAAGTGACGTCACTCGCAAGGCAACGTGTCTTAATCATACAAGGCGTCCATGAACATAATATATCCATACTCAGTAGTAAACATACACAACAACATCACAGTTTAGATTAATTGAATACGGAAATATTCAACAATTAATCATGGGCCACACATGGCCAAACGTAGGCTCGCAGGCCAAAACAATGTATTAATACAAAGTATCCATGAACATAGTTTATTTTTTTGAAATAGTAGAGAGAGCACGAACCACGTCTTCCTCTGGATTTTCTTCACCCGTGCAAAGGTGTAGATGACAAGCCTTAACTTCAACCTGAAATGGTGCCCCCCCCGAAGGGGCCAGTACAAGTACTGAGCGAGTAGCAGACTAAATATAGAATAACTAGCGTTTCAAGTATAAGACCCAAACATAGGGTGATACTTATGTAAATAGTCTTTTCCCCCAAGTTAAGAAATACTTAGTAGTACATATACACTTGGACGATACCCGATCCGTAGATCACCGTTTTATTTGGGAAAATATTAATAGTCAATATCCTTGACTAAAAACCCCAACCCACCCATATGCCTATGAGTGTATAGGACCCCTCCTTGTCCATACTTCAATGTCATAATCTATGAGTTTTGAGGATCAAAATCCTTGGGTACTCCACCAAATTTTTATTTGAGTGTTAAGGACTTTTTGTCCTAGGATCCTCCACCAATTTATTATCCGTGTGTTAAGGACTTTAAGTCCTAGGGTCCTCCACCAATTTATGATCCGAGTGTTAAGGACTTTAAGTCCTAGGGTCCTCCACCAAAATATGAGTGTTAATGACTTTTAAGTCCTAGGGTCCTCCACCAAAATATGAGTGTTAAAGACTTTTAAGTCCTAGGGTCCTCCACCAAAATATGAGTGTTAAGGACTTTAAGTCCTAGGGTCCTCCACCAATTTATAATCCTGTGATCAACCTCCTATCAACATAGATATGATCTATATCATATTTATTCATTCATAGCTAAATCAATACATAAAGCTTATGTATCACAATCCATGCAAAGTCATGCGTTTATATAACTTCATAATTAACTAATACCATCCGGTATCAATTAATCCATTATCCATCGGTTAACGTTTTCGTTGACCGCCATTTCAAACCTTATACGTATCAACTTAATCATCATATAATTAAGTTAATAATGTTCATTTGTGCACCTCTTACGCTTCAAGCAAACGTGCATTTTATATAATTTCTCATAACATATTTCATGCATAAACAATTAATTCCTTTCATACAAACTTAACCATGTTGGCTAATCACATGTTTAAATACCTTTTAAACATAATTATGAACACATATAATATTTATTTATGTAATCTCATAATTAACCCAAAAGTTATAAGATATTAAGCCGTCCACTCACCTCGAATTAGCGCTATGAAGTTCTACCCCTCTCGGTTGAACTCCGGCGATACCCCGGCGAATTTTGACGAACTCTGGCGACAACTCCGACAAACTCTAGAAACTCTTTAGTTAAGCTCCTAACATGTTTTTATAATCACAAAACCCATATTAATACAAATAACCTCTAAAAGGTTATTTTCCGGCGAATCGGTCGTTTTGGCTTCTAAATCCGTTCTTGGACATAGAACCACTTTCCAACCCATTCTTCCAAACTCATACCATGTAGAACAATCCTAAGGGTCCTTCATATGATATATATCTCATATGATAGAAGAAAAATTAAAGGAAAAAATGTGATAAGGTTATTACCTTAATTTTCACACTTTTTTCTAGCTTTTTTCTTCTCTAATCTTCTTCCCTTGCACCCCTTTGTGTTGAGCTCGAAAATGGAGGATGCTATGGAGTATTTTCAGAGCTTCTCACTCCTTGGATGGCAGCTGGGTCGAGTTAATGGGGATAGGGTTGATTGAGAATGCCTTTTTGGCATTTCTCTCAATCATACATGAAAGAGATCCACTCCCTTAAATGTGTTTGGCTCCCAAATCACCTCATGGCTCCTTTCTCATGTGATGGTGCGGCTACCTTGTCCAAAAACAAGGCTAAAAACGTGGGTTGACCCTTACTTATGTGGGGGTCATCGCTTTGTGTCCCGTAATGCACAATCGGTCCTGAAAGTTGTATTTTTCGGACTCTTTTAATTATATTTTATTTTATCGGCCCAAATAAAATATATTGTGTGATTTCAATCACTATGGACCTTTAGAATAATTTTAGATTCCCCAACTTTAATTTAGAAGTCTCCGAAATTCAATTCGGACTGTTATCCGGTAAATTACCAATACCGGTAATGGGGCTTCGTTTGACCGACGGGTCAACCCTAAGCCCTTTCTATGGCCCAACTAAAATATATATACCATCATATAAATATTATCTAGAACAAGATGAATATAATATGTGGTCCCGGGTTTACCGGACGGTCCCCGCTCCCGGTGTGGGTCCCACGTGCAGTTCACTATTCACGCGAAAGAAATAACCAAAAATTTACAACCACGTAAATTCACGAATCATTATTCAAGGTTTATTACATGATTTACTAAAAGTAAATATACTTGAGGACGATGTTACAGTATACTCTTGGTTGTCTTCTTCTCCATCGCCGACCACCGGTGCGTCACTACCCACTAAGCCATCTCCGGGACTTTCTTCCTCCGTCGCCAATGAAATATGGGCATCACTTGATTCACACATGTTTGAAGCATCCAACTCCATTGATTCACTATGAACGAGCCAAACAAAGAGACAGAAGAACAGAGTTGCAATGTCTTGGGTGTCTGCGCAAGTGGTGAGGGAAATCATGGGATGTGGGAAAGTTTTTTTAAAAAATTAAAATGGTATATAAAGGGGGTAAGGGTGTGTGTAAGGGAGTGTGTAGGTATAGCATTTTTGTTTGTATTTTGATATTTAATTTGTAAATAACCCGATTATTAATTTTGGGCTTTATAATTGTAATTGATTTTTACAATATTTTAGAATTTAAAATAATTGTTGGATACGATGCCGGTACAGTATTATACTACCCAGATATTTGAAAAAAACACCATTACCCTATGAAAAATGATGGTATCTTAATCTTTCGATATTTTCTTGTATTTTTCGAAACCGGTATACCCATTTTCCTGTATTTTATACACATTTTGTTGCATATATCCGTGTAAAGTAAATCCATCCCTTCAGATCTACCTCTTCGAAGTTAGAAGCCATTTCTCATATAAAGTTAGTTCATCCCTCCTGATCCAGAACAATGCTTGTTTGTATAACCTAAACCTCTGTATCTAAGAAACTAGCTAAATCAATGGCCAATTTAACGCCGGCAGTTCTCCCAATCTCTAATTCTCATTCCTCCACCGCCGTGGCTTCTTCCGACGCCGCCGCTGTTGGGCCCACACCGGCTTTCCGTGCCTTCATAAACCACATCACCGACACCGTACGCAACGGGCTCGCAAACCGCCGCCCTTGGCCCGAGCTTGTGGACCGCTCCGCCTTCGCAAAGCCGGAGTCCTTCTCTGACGCCACCGTCCGCGTCCGCAAAAACTATGCGTACTTCAAGATCAACTACCTGTCTCTCCTTGCCGCTGTACTTGGGTTCTCTCTTGTAACCAACCCGTTCTCCCTCATCCTTCTCTCTGCACTTCTCGCAGCCTGGCTATTCCTTTACCTCTTCCGCCCCTCCGATCCCCCTCTCGTCCTTTTCGGTCGACAATTCTCCGAACGCGAAACCCTGGGTGCGCTCCTTGTCTCCACCGTTTTCGTCATTTTCCTCACAAGCGTCGGATCTGTTTTGGTTTCCGCGTTGATGATTGGCGCCGCTATTGTCTGCACCCACGCTGCTTTCAGGGTCCCTGAAGATCTGTTCCTTGATGAACAAGATGCGCCTACAACTGGATTTCTGTCTTTCTTGACTGGGGGTGCGGCGAATGTAGCAGCCACTGTTGCTTCTCCTGCAGTTGCGGCCAGGGTTTGATCATATAATCCGAGATCTGTAAAGCTCAATGGCGGTCATCTATGGTAAAAAAATCTGAAGCTGTTTTTTCGTAAATTCATGGACTTTTTATATACGCATATATGTTTAGTACTTGAGAAAAATGACAAAAACATCAAATTATATTGTTAGATATATGCATGGTTGGGACTATCTGTCTTTTCTTAGAGAAACACTTGTAATATTACAATGATGGATCTATAAATTTGTTAATTTTGTTTTCGCCAAGTGAGGTAGGTCTTTGTTACGTATAAGTTATTAACTTTATTACTGTATTTCATTTTTGTGTGTTCTGTTTTTGTTTTCTTGCAGAATTTATCTGCTAAATAGCGAAACTTTTGTTATCATAATCTTTACTCCGTATGAAATACTCCGTAGTAAACTTCTCAATCACATTAAGTGGATCAATGTGTAAGTATTGATCTGTATTGATGTGAAGCGTTTCTTTGCATGATTGATGGTTGATTTGGTGTCAGTGTGTTCCATTTTTTAGTGAAAAGTTTGGGTGGTTAGAACTTTCTGATTTTTTATCAAAACAGAATTTTACTTTGTTTGGTAGTGTGTACAAAATTACTCCATATATCATAGCCCTGACTAAACATCGTATAGGAGCTAGGATATACCTTGGCACCTAAGTTCTCTTCTTGCTCCGGCCCTTCCCAATTCCATTTTCATCCCACCTAAACATGATTAGTGCCTGTTAGAGAGTAAACATCAGCTCGTTTAGTCATATATGCCTGACTAATCCTAGACATAGGGTTCAGAGAGAGCAACCTCTAAGTTATGTCTGGGATTTATTTGACCATATGGGTACAAATTTGTAACCTTTTTGGATTTGTATAGGTTATGATGTGTATGCACTTGGGAACATCTTAAAATCTGGTCTTTCATAAATTATAGTTATTTCATGTATTAGAGTATCGGCTGTGGCGTACATTACAACTTTACAACTTTTGTTCTTAGTTTCTTCTGTTGTCTCTAGAAGCAAGGTATTAAGCAAAATAGTTTTTTTTTGTATCGCAAATTAGTGATAGGGTTGATGTTCATGTTCCACCAAATGTGTTGTTGATTTTGCATGTTCTACATGACTATATCAGTGTTAGCTGATGTGGTCCTATAGTTTAAATTGTATTTCTAGGCACTATGTTTGATACCTCATATATTGAAGGTTCTATGTTCTAAAAACTCTCGCCTACGCATTAGGTCTCCCCTATGCTCTAGTTTTTGACCTGCTGCTTGGCCTCTTTTAATGGTCTATTGCACAAGTTATGCTAATCTCTTTCTCGGAAGTTAGAAGCCCCTGCCACAGCTTGATATAGAATAGTTCGGGTGTTTGCTTTGGCTATGGTTTGTGTTGAGACTTGAATGATTTACTTTAGCTGTTGTCCAAAAAATGTTCAAAAGTTAAACTGGGTAGTATTTTTTTTTAAAATAAATGTTATTTTTAGAAATAAAGATGTGTTTTTGGTAAAGAACTAAAGATGGCAATTTCTTTAGAAAAGGTGAAAGCACTTTTAATTGCTTTTTGCTGTAAAATGGTTAAAGTGAATCAAAAGTCACAAATAAGTGGTTGAAAGAACTTAGAAGCCATTGCAAATAAGAAATGCTATTTGTACACATCAAATTGTACACAACATTACGTCGGTCAAATTGTCTATGCACAAACAATTTTTTTTACGTTTTCTGAAGATATGTACAATATGTTGTGTACATCAAGTATGATTAGATTGCAAATACTCTTATCGTAGATGTCATTGTAGCTTGGAACTGAAGTAGGAGGATATTGTAGGTTTGTAGGCATGTAGCGGAAAAGGGCTTGCAGGTACTTGAGTTTGGTAATGTCATTGTTTAGTTCGGAGTATCTATCATTCTCTCTTGTGGAACTTTTTATTTGGGCCCTCGTAGGACAGAAGTGCACATGCTAAAGTTAATAAAATGCTAAGGACATGTTTACTTCGGTGTTAAAGTTTGTAAGACGGATGAAGTAACACGTAAGCTACTTAAACATGTGCTTAAAATGCCGCTTACTCCTACTCCTACTCTATTGACCCACCCCTAATTCTTAACCCCTAAACCCTACCTTACCCACACTCCTGCCCTCGTACCCCTAAACCCCTTCCCCCTAACACCTACCCCCCTCCTACCCTTACATGTCCCTGTCCCCCCCTAAAACGGGTAAGGGTACAGTTCAAGGAGGTGAGGATAGGGGCAGGGGATAGGGTGTAGGTGGTAGGAGAGTAGGGGGTAGGCACTATACCTGGATAAAACCGGGCCGGCCCGCCTGACATGCGCAGCCCGTCCTCACAAATGGGCGGCTTGGACATATATATTTATCCACCGGACCGGCCTGAGCTCGGCCCGCAATAAGCTATGGGCGGGTTTGGGTTAGGGTGTAGGCTCGTTCGGGCCGATAAGCCCGGCCCGCTACATTTAGTATATATAAATATATAGATTTATATATATACACTAATTTATTTATTTATTTGCATATACACATGTATATTTATATTTACTAATTTTTCTTTATACATATTTATAGTTTATTATGTTTAAATTTAAATTTTTAGTTCTTAACAACTAGCCCAACCAATATAATATCTATTTTTGTACTTAAAGATAATACTTTGTGCTTAAATTTTAAATTTTAGATATAGTTTCTCTTTGTTATTTTTGTGTAAGTATTTTTTTTGTATGTGGTGAAAGACGTATAAACATTATAAGCGTATTAGTTATTTTTTAAATGTTGTAATATTATTTTTAAAGTATTTAAAAAATCTTACAATTTTGAAAAAATTAAAGTTTTCCGGGCCGGGCGGCCCAGTGGACTACCCGGCCCGTTCTTATGGGCGGGTATGGACAGGGTTAGGCCTGTTTTTGCAGGCCGGGTCGGGCCTTCCCACACATGATGGGCTGAAAATTTATAAAAAGCTCGGCCCGAGCCTGTTTTTTGTACAGGTCTAGTAGGCACCCATGTATTTTATATACTCCCTCCGGTCCTAAATAAAGTTCATAGTTTGACTTTACGGTTTTTAAGAAAGTAGAATTTTTACTTTTGACTTTTCCATCATGCCCCTACAAAAAGGTTATAAAGTGTAATGAGAGAGAAAATGAGTGTAAAGTAGGTAATAAAGTAAGGGTATAGAGGTAACTTTATGTTAAAAACTTGCTAAAAATAGAAGTTAAAGTTTATTTTGGACCTACACAAAAAGAAAAGTGTGAAACTTATTTAGGATCAGAGGGAGTATATGTATATATTTTTGTGTGCACGAATGTTTGTGTGCTTATATGTGTAAGGTTATTTTAGATATTTTAATGTTAAACGGTGTTTCAATGTATATAGCACTGTTTGTTTTATGTGCTGCTTATTAAAGCAAGTCTTAATAAGCATCACGTGGTAACCTATAAAGTAAATGTGTCTTAAGTATACGATTTGGGGCCTGTGTGAGGTGGAACATGACACACAGGCCCGGCTTAGGTGCAACTGGTGCACCTGCATAGGGCCTCCAATCCTAAGAGGGCCTCCAATTTTTAATAACATAGTACTATACCTAGGCCCAATAAGATTTTTTATATAAAATAACTGTTGTTAGCGGCCCAACCCGGTGCTACTTGTGAAGCGCGTCTTGCTTGGGCCAATCCGGACTGGGTTCAGAAAAGAGTAAAAATCTAGTTATATATCGAAAAAGAGTTGGAGCTGGGAGTCGATCCTTAATCCTCCAAGCGAAATAGCAGAGCCTCTACTATCAGATCACATAGAGCTTTTCGTTTTGCACTTCTCTTTAAACATATTTATACCTTTTGTCATAATTTTTTTGAGTTAAACTAATTTTGGTAGTTCTTGCATTCTAATTACCAATAAAAAAAGGATAACAAATATAATATACTTCGTATATCTTACGGAGTATTATAAGTTCGAATACTAATATATATATTTAAGTACAAATTTAGGTACAAATGCTAAAGTTTCGTTATTGACTTGGTGCTTTTCAAGACCGTTGTTCATGTTTGAAATACTTTGCGTATATGTTCCTTTAACCTATTTATTGATCCATATCATGGCATTATTGAAGATTTTATTTCAAATTTTATAGAAAGAAAGCATTGTTTAAATAAGTGTAGTTTAAGTTCAAAATTTTGAATGAAATTTTGATACTCTTGGTGTTTTTACTTCATCAAGTAGAATTGCATTTTTTAAAATTTGATTTTTTATTGTAATATTGGCATTATTTTTAAAATTAAATATTAGGGTCTCTATCTTTACTTCGAACAGGGCCTTCAATTTTTCAGGGCCGTGCGTGCTACAACATGCATTAGAATTTCATGCAGTGTACTGCCTCTTCTTTCATTCATCCAACTAAATTCGTCCAAAATTGCACACCCATAGAATCACCGTATTTGCTGTTAAAATGCTCTAATATTGTACGAAGTATATAATACTACCTCCGTAACCCTAGAATCTTCCCAGTTTGACTCTTTTGGGTCAAACTTTATAAACTTTGACCATTAATTATTCAAAACTCACGTTATGTTATGACTAAAAATTTATTTCATATACCTCATTGTAAAACATATTATTTGAATGTTAATTTATTATGAATTTTATAAATATAGATATGTAGATATTTAGAGTCAAAGTTCAACTTAGAAGACCGTGAAAAGTCAAAATGGAAAGATCTTTGTGTTACGGAGGTAGTAATAGACTTACAGCTTTGACTTGTTCATATATCTGGTAGTCTCTTGTGGCAACTCTTTAGGATGATTCAATCAATTAAAGTGTTATTTGGTCGTTCTTATAGTGTTGTTTATTTCCTTACATTCTTCCTCTCCACCCAGTAAACTGGAAGATACACTATTTTGGGCCTATATTCATAATAAACAGTAAACCATATTTGGGCAATGAAGTTCATAAAATAAAGACGCGAATCACTTTATTATTATACGGAGTATAAGTTACTACCTCCGTCCCTTAAAACTTTGCCAAAGTTGACCGGCACAGAGAATAATAAAGTAAAAACTGCGTGGTTGAGGTTTGTGCAGAGGAGAGAGAAATAACAGAAACCGCAAAATAATTGATTAAAAGGGAAAGTGACAAAGTTTTCTGGGACGTCCCAAAAAGGAAAGATGGCAAAGTTTTAAGGGACGGAGGGAGTACATATTTGGGCAAAAGTAACAACACGAGTATCGAATAAAAAGAAAAAATATTACTCCCTCCGTCCCGAAATTATCTTCATTCTTTCCTTTTCGGTCCGTCCCAAATTTATCTCCTCTTTCCCTTTTTGATAAAGAATATGTGGTTCACAACCATTCTTACACATTTCTCTCTCCTCTGCACAACTCTCCACCACACAAATCCCACTATCTTAATCCTCGTGCCCAGTCAAAACCGAAGTTAATTATGGGACGGAGGGAGTACTTAAAAACGTTTCTCGTAGACCAATGTGAAGCAAATCATTAATGATTGCTTCATAGGCAACCTTCTTTTCCATTAATAAATATAACAAACAATAAAATTGACACATATAACAATAGTAAACTTTCTTTTGAAAGGATAAATGAAAAGAAATATTACCACATATTGAATTCATAAGTTGAGAATGATTTATTGATCGTTGACGAGTGTCTAAAGTTTGAAGTCTCGAAAGAATGAAGATTTTCAAAGAGACAAAATGTTTGGCTGCCAAGTGAACTCGCGCAAGAAGTTGGACAAAATGTTTTTAGTCCCTGCAAATATAGTACATTTTGTTTTATATCTCTGCAATTTTGTTTTTGTTTTTCATCCCTGCAATTTAAGTTGGTTTTCTTTTTAGTCCATCACTAATGATAACAATCTCCGTTTGACCTTAAAATAACCCTGATTAATAGATCTCTAATTCTTTGTCATGTTATTAAAAAGTATTTAATTTTTTAGAAGGTTTCTTAATATATATATATATATATATATATATATATATATATATATATATAATGTGAATACTTAGTTTTACATTGTTTTAGCTCTTATAGTAACCTCAAAAAATTATAAAAGAAAGAATTTAAATATTTCTAGTAGATTTATGTAATTTACAATAACTTTTTTTTGTAAGTAGAGCGGTTTAAGAATCAGAGATAGACTAAAAACAAAATAATGCAGGGATGAAAAACAAAAAAAAAATGTGCAGAGACTTAAAACAAATTGTGTCATATTTGCAAGGATTAAAAACGTATTTAAACCATTATTGTATTATCAACGAGCAGCCCAATATTCTCAATGGGCCACGAGACATGCACCCCTATCAATGGAGAGCTTGCTGAATAGGCTGCCTCACAATCTCATGAGCGTCCTTTCAAGTGACCAAATTATCAACTAAACCCAGGCTTTCCCTTTGCTAGAGACATGCATGCAGTTGAAGAGTCCCAATTCCCCAAGAGTAAAACGGGGCTAGCTAGTAACAAAAGGCCAAACACTGCGTAAAGAGAAGTGGAAAAGTTACACTTGGTATTCTACAAGAAAGCGTTATAAAAACGTGAGGCACATCTAGACACTCAATTTATTATTACAGCTACAAACTACATACGCAGAATTTAGAAATGGCTCCTCCCAAGAGAACCTACACAGCCATGTTTGTGTGTTTTTACGTGTCATCCTTCATCTTTCAATCCCATAGTTCCTTAGACATAGGACCTCATCCTTCGGGGGTGTTTCCAACAGGCAGCGATTCGGACGACAGAGTTAGCGTATCGCTGTACTATGAATCTCTTTGTCCATACTGTGCAAACTTCATTGTCAATAAGCTAGTGAAGCTGTTTACCACAGATCTTGGGACTATTGTCAATCTCAGGCTCATCCCTTGGGGAAACACCCAGACAGCCCCTAACAATGGCTGGATTTGCCAGCATGGCCCTGATGAGTGTCTGCTCAATCTAGTGGAAGCATGTGCTATCAGTTCATGGAGTAATCTGGTAAATAAAATAGACCTCCTTGCCTGCACTAAAAACTCATGCACACTATTAGTAATATAATGTTGACCATATTGCTGTAAACGGTGTTTGGGTGCAGGAAATCATGCAATTCAGGTTTGTATATTGCATAGAGCTTTTGCATCTGGAGAACAGGCACAGTGACTGGAAATCTTGCTTTGCTGCTACAGGATTGAGTGAAATTCCAGTTAGGGATTGCTTCAACAATGGAGTTGGAATCCTGGTCTCTCTCTCTTTTATTAGTTTATTTGCGTACTTCTTTTCTTGGGCGGTGGTTTCACATTTGGTAGCTTGTAACATTATATACATATATACATTTTGTATTTTTTAAATACCACTTTCCTAAACGGTTTAATAGCAGAAGTAGGGTCTATCTTTTGTCTCACTTAAACTGAACAAAACTAATCTGAACTAATCCGAATTGAAAACGAATTATATGCAAATAAAACCAAACCGATTAATAAAGTATACTTGTATACAAAATTGAACAAAACATGCATGAAACAGAACCAAACCCCAATGTCAAAAGAAGTCTGTATGTACTTTTTATGAGTATTTTAAATGTCATTTGTCAGAATTGACCACATTCAATCTTTTCTAACCATAGTTTATGAAACCAAAATAAAAATGTACTACGTATATATTATCAACATTTGGATCAGTATTGGTAAAATGATAAATAAAATTTCTTTATTTAGAAATTATATTAAAAGTTCAAACAGAAATAAATATGAATGAGATCAATGTGTCATGTGAGTGAATTTTTAAACTGCAGATAGAACAGGGATATGCAGCTGAGACAGCTAGTCTGAACCCCACTCACAGGTTTGTGCCATGGGTTCTGGTGAATAATCAGCCTCTTCAAGAAGTTAGTCCCTCTACTCCATCTCTATATCTTTCATTGTTTTCCTAGCTGTTACATTAAAGATAATGCTCATTCTTAGATCTCAAAATACATACATTGAAACAAAGCATATTGGAAGTAAACAATGCACCTTCTGTTGCAGGATTATGAAAACTTTGAAGCATATATCTGCAGCGCGTATAAGGGAAGCAGAACCCCGCAGGCTTGCAGCCAGCAGGCATTATCAGTGGGGGGCAATATCAAAACATCAAGCATCACCCCTTCTGGATTCTGTCTTCGAGAATGACATATATTGATTCTCCCCATAGACTTTGAACTTGGATGATGTTCTTCAAGCAATCAAGCCAGATACATTTCAACTAGTCTGATAATTTTGCAGTGTTTATTTTTTTTCACTTCTGTTCTATAAGATATTACCCATTTTCTTAAATCTATTCATAACCATTTTTTCATACAGTTTTTAAGCAAATCAATTCATTCATCCTCTGGATTCATTATATCATTTTCATAACAACTTCAAATTCCTTAATTTCAGTCATTTTCGTCCTGCAAAACTGCTATAAATTCCGGAAAGAAACTTTAACTATAGTATATCTTGGTTATATTTCACATTATTACAGATTTACAGATAAAGTGTAGGTTAAAGAAACAAAAACAAAAAAGTAAAAATCTAGAGTGTGAGAGTTTTTAGACAAAATGGGCATTTCAGACTTTCAGGGCTTGGCAATCAGAACCGCCTCTGCAAGTGTATGACCATTCACTGCCTCTAGGAGTTTGTCCTTGGTAGGCTGCAAAAGCATAAATTTTGAGCAAATTAACTTAATATTAAGACAAAATGGATGAAACTGAACCATGCACATACTCTGCATAAATTCTCTGGCCCCACCATTTCACCAATAACATTCTCATGATCTTTACTGAAATATCTAAAAAATGTGTCTTCACTTTCACATTTTTTAAATACACATGCAATCCCGTATCATTAACTTATGATGCTAAAATGGATCCAATTTATGAAAATCAAGAAGTCTTCATTTTCACTTTTCAAAACACACACATGCAATCGATATCATTAATTTATGTCCACTTTTTGCTCAATTTGACAAACGACAAAATTATACTTGAAATCTTTAAACAAAAAAGAGTTTTTTTTGTGTGTTTAAATATGTGTAGTTCATGGTGGTGTTAAATTGAAATATTCAATGGATGATGTTAAAGAGGAAAAACTATGCCATTTGGAAATATTAAAGATTAAAATTAATTAGTAGTCGATGCTGATGAAACTGATTAAAATTTATAATAATGAATACTAATAAACAAAAATTATCATTAAGGGCATGTAAAAAAGAGTTGAGGACTGAGGAGTACCTTATTTCCAAGATGAAGGTCTTCAACGTCAACGGCAAAAAGGCGAAACTCAAAACGGTGGCCATGCGAGGGCAACTTAGGCGCGCGCCACCCGAAAACCTTGTCGTCGTTTTTGCCTTCCCTAATTTTGGAAAAATCGCCGCCGCCATCGCCGTCCAGCTCTTCAAATTTACCCGAAAACCCTTCCGGCAACCCGGTCAGCGAGGGAGGAATATTCGTGACCACCCAAACGACCCAGGGCACGAGGGGTGCACTGGGATCCGGAGCGTCAATGTCCTGTACCACCAAGGCCAAGCTCTTCGTCCCTTGAGGCAAATTGTACCACTCCAATGGCGGCGAAATTTTCCTCATAGCTCCCTGCCCTTCGTCTGTGTACTTTCTAGGTAACCTACCCTCATGATTGAAGCCTGAAGATACCAGCCTGAACTCATCGCTTGCATTGGCCATTGTAGAATCGCCTGAGGTAAAGCGCTATATATGAAGAACGCCAACCGTTTGAGGAAATGCGTCTGTAACGAGTATTTGGGCAACTGCCTATGGGGGGTGAATTTCCTTCTTTTAATGGAGGGGAGCTGCATCATCGCTGCCTTGATGAAATGATATAAATTGATGTGGAAAATTCGCATTAGAATGAGAAGGTATACAAAGTAACACGTTGCATGTACGTGGAGAGTTATGAACACAGCTACACAAATTTATCATCATATGACCAAACATTTTCCAGAATTTGACAGACTATTTTAGTTTCTTTGCCATTTTTAAATTTTGAATTTCCATTTAAAAATAAATATTTTTTTAATTTGTATTTTTTTGTTTTCTTATCAATATTTTCATTTCATTTCATTCTAAAATAATTTGTTCTTAAAAATGTCAAGAATTCCTTTTTTATATATTACTCTGCCCCATCTTATTTGTCTTATTATCATTTTTAAGTTATTCCAAAATTAGTGTTGCGTTTTCTTTTTGTTGGAACAAATATATGGTTTACAATACTTTTTTTTAATATACTCAAATCTCAATAACAATAATTTTTATATTTTCAACTATTTTATTAATAATTTTATCAAACTAAAGTTGGATACATAAAATGGGACAGATGTAGTATTATTCTAAAGTGGTTAAAAACTAGTGAGAAGTAAATATAAACTCTCTTATAATTGATTCAAAGTTGGATAATGCGGTATACAAAGAAAAAAAGGAAAGAAACAATAGAAATACCCCAAATTTTGATGGGTGTGACGTAAACGTCTTAAACTTGTGTATATAATTTAAATACCCCACACTTTATATAAAATTATTTTCGCGTTATTGTCATGTATTATTTCTTTCAAAAATGTAAATTTTTCGGGTTAACTGCATAATTTAAAATAGCAAATTAAAAGTGTTGCAATTATATCGATTGTGTGTAACATTATTTATTTCGTAAAGGAAGTTTATAATGGTAATTGTGTCTTCATGAATTCTAGAATATTTTAAATTATGAAATTAACTCCATCAATTAACATTTTTGAAAGAAATAATACTTGACTATGATGTCAAAATAACTTTTATATTAAATTTATGGTATTTAAAATACATATACAAGTTTGGAGTTTTCATCTCACGTTCCTTCAAAGTTTGGGTATTTTATTTATTTTTCCCTAGGAAAAAAGTGAATCTGGCTATTAGGTTTGGCATTTGGGCCTAACAACTAAAGTATTTTGGTGGATAGTATAATAATATAAGTGCTATCTATGGGCTTATGTGTGCCGCTATCCCAAACCCAATAATCATATGACCAGGCGTCTGACACTATATATATATATATATATATATATATATATATATATATATATATATATATATATATATATATATATATATATATATATATATATATAGGTTTTGGTTCAAATAAAAACATGATCTTATGAGAAAAATGAGAATGAATATGGATCGTTAGATTTGTTTTATGTGAAATTCAATGTGCATTAGATGAAGTTGTCATGTGTAATAAGTGAAATTGAAATGTGCAACACAAAAGGTATGATGTTGTTGCATTATGTGAAGCTAAATTGTGCATTAGGTAAATTTGAAATGTGCATTAGATGAAACTAAAATGTGCAGAACAAAATGTACGACGTGATGTTATTTTTGTACGCCTTATTTTGCACATTTCAGTTTCACCTAATACACATGTGAGTTTAAATTTTTATTCCGCACATTTAAATATCGTCTATTGCACATTGCGGTTTCACCAAATGCACAGTTTAGTTCCACATAATTCAATCCAACGTTACAGATTCGTTCTCATTTTCTCCTAAGATCCGTTCTTACCGGAACCGCTATATATATATATATATATATCTATCTATATCTATATATATATATATATATTCCACTTCACCTACTGGCAGTTGATACTTTGCCTAAAAAGGAGATTAAAGTTTTAAACATCAAAATGTCTTCTTTCTTCCGAGGCCCTTCTAATGACAAAGCAAAATATCATTGGCTTAATTGGTCAAAATTATGTTATCCTACTATGAAAGGTGGGCTGGGAATAAGATCTTTGACTGATATTGAGAAAGCTTTTACACTTAAATTATGGTGAAAATGGAAGACATGTGAATCACTGTGGGTCAAAATGATGAGATTGAGATATGATAGAAATGGTAGCATGGTTCATAGAATACCTGATTCGGCAATTTGGAGGAGGATATGTTCTGCTAATGATCAATGCCTTGAGCTCAGCACCTTGGATTCTTCTGGCAGAATCACCTGGAAATCTGGAATGAAGAAGTTGACAGACAATTTTCTCTTAGAACAACTTATGAGGAGGTTAGAGATTTGGCTTTTAACTCTATCATATATGAAAGGAGGTTATATATATATATATATATATATATATATATATATATATATATATATATATATATATATATATATATATATATATAGAGAGAGAGAGAGAGAGAGAGAGAGAGAGAGAGAGAGAAATATTCAGGTCAGGTATTCCGGACCAGAAATGCCGTCCGGACGGCGGCGTTTGGCCGCCTTCCCGGTGGAATTTTTGGATGAAATGTTTATGACATGTTCTTCATCAAGTCTAGTATATAAAAAAAAAATCAGCTAAAAATTCAACCGGGAAGACCGTCAAATGATTTTAGGAAGATAATCGCGCCCAGATGATACATATAAAACGCAGTTAATTCCAAAAATCATTTGAAGTGTGAAAAGTGCCTTAAAACATAAAAAAACTTCATTAATAATAGAAAAACGAAAGAAAAACAGGAATTAAACAAAAACTTCATTAATAATAATGAAAAGTGTCTTTTACTATGGATACTTCTTTGTACAACGTCGTTATAGTCCAAAAGACACTTCTTAAAATATGCCAAATCTAGACGAATTTGGTGCACACCCGACACAAACCAATTTGAAATGATGTTATGCACTACAAGCAAGTCTTTTACTCTACCCTCACTCGCACCATAAGCATAGCTAACATTATATAGCTTAATAGCCCCATTTCTAAGAACAAATTTATCTAATTGAACCCATTTCTCACTCTATTCAAACTATGGATGTGTAAAACTCTCTTTATCATAGAACTTATAATTGTTCTATAAAGAAAAGTGACACAATGATACACTAAAGTGGACTTGCGCTATTTGAACAAGGAATAGAATATTTGGAAGACGGTGGGATAGTCTTTTGTTTTTGAAAATCAATAAGTTTCTTGTCATAAATTTCATAAATCAGTTTTTCATTATGAAAGAATTTGCATCCTAATATATTAGGATGCGACACTAATAGTGAAAATGTGTGGGATGGAGAGACTTTATGTTCTATATGGACTGGTGTACCCGTCCTCAATAGTTTATAAGAGTTAGTGATGGAGTATATGGCCCAGGGATCCCCAGCCCACATACTTCCTCTACTACAATCAGGTCCAACAGGCTCAAACGGGCCAAGCCCAGCAAAATGGAGCTCTAAGCAGCCCACAATACGCAAAGGGGTGCCTTCGGCCCCATGGCCGAAGGCTACCAGTGACGGAATCGAGCTCAGAAACATCACAGGAGAACAAGGCTTGAAAACCAAGCCTTTGGCACCTGCAGCCCTCGGCAGGTAGGAACCCTCGGTTAGAAGAGCCTTCGGCCCAGCACCCTTCAGCCGAAGGCATCCACATCGACAGAATATCCTCTTCACATGCGCCTGGATCACCGTACCAAGTACAAACGTCACATCCAACCACCGAATTTAATGCGGCCCCATGCGAGTGCCAGTGCCACCCCGGTCGAGGTGACCCCTCGACCACCAGAAAACTGACACGTGTCCTTATCTAGCATTTATTACTACTATAAATAGCACCCCTTTCCCCCATTGTAAACCACACTTAATACATATCGAATATACACTCTCTCTCTTACTTATTTGCTCTGACTTCTCTCTAGTTATTCTCCGCAATAACCCCTCCGATAAGCTACCCCCGGGTACACTATCCATCATTTGGTGCTCTCGTTGAGAGTTCGAACAATCAAGTAAGAAACCCTCCCCTTCAGCTAAAAACACCTATCAAAATGGGAAGAAACACCCGTGCGCAATCCAAGACTCATGAGGACAGGAACCTGGCCCTCGGCGACGTCGACGCCCTCGAAGCCTCTAACATGGCTCCCGAGGGCGGCGCCCTCGTTGGGTTGGAACTGACGGCTGTCGACCTGCGCCTTCAGCTCCAACATAATGCCCTCGATGCCCGCCTTGGCATCGAGGCCAAAAAGAAGGACCGGAGCGAAAACTAAATGAGCCCTCCGGTTCTCACCATTGACGTACAATCAGCGTTCTCCGCCTTCATCCAAACTCTCACTCAAAACCCAGGTGCCTTCGGCACGTTGGTACCCCTTCAGCCGCAGGTCGGGGAGAACGCCACTCTCCCCCCTCCTTCGCTCCCCTTCGTGAACTCTATCCTTCGGTTAGGGAACAACGAGAGGGTTGTGGCCCAGGACACCGCGTCTCAGGAAGTCCAATCCCGGGACCGCCACAGCGCAAACAAAGAAAGGCCCCGGACCTCCGCCCTCAAGAGACTCGGAGGGGCGCTAGACCGCCGAGGGGTCCAAGACCGCCTCGGCGGAAAGGTGCTCCAAAGACCTCAGGAAAGTGGCGGATCCGTCTCCAGGGCAGATGAGAAGCTTCCCCCTCGGGATACAGGCAAAGCACCCCTCCATGCCGACGGCACCCGACATCAAATCAACCAGGCTCGCTCGGCCCATGACCATTCGCAGGGGGCGGAGGCCCTCCCGAAGGACACCAGGGATGAAATTATAGCGGCCCTCCAGCACCGGCTTGATGAAATGGAGGCCCGTCAAGCACATACCGCCGTTGCCACCCCTCATGCAGATTCTAAATATGAGGCCATGCTGGCCAAAATGGAGGAGATGCAAAGGAAATTTTCCGAAGGCTCCGGGGAACCCGTCATCCAACTCCGAACTAGGACGCCATTTACCCCAAGGGTATTGGCGGCCCAAATCCCGGAAAAGTACCGAGGGCAACTCATCAAGCCCTATGAAGGAAAAACTGACCCCCAGGAGCACTACAACAGGTATCAAAACAACATGATGATGATGGGGGCATCAGATGAATACTTATGTCGTTGGTTCCTTTCCACCTTGGAGGGACCAGCA